TGTCCAGTGTGTGTCCAGTGTGTCCAGTGTGTGTCCAGTGTGTGTCCAGTGAGTGTCCAGTGTGTCCAGTGTGTGTCCAGTGTGTCCAGTGTGTGTCCAGTGTGTCCAGTGTGTGTCCAGTGAGTGTCCAGTGTGTCCAGTGTGTGTCCAGTGTGTCCAGTGTGTGTCCAGTGAGTGTCCAGTGTGTCCAGTGTGTGTCCAGTCAGTGTCCAGTGAGTGTCCAGTGTGTGTCCAGTGTGTCCAGTGAGTGTCCAGTGAGTGTCCAGTGTGTCCAGTGTGTGTCCAGTGAGTGTCCAGTGTGTGTCCAGTGAGTGTCCAGTGTGTGTCCAGTCAGTGTCCAGTGAGTGTCCAGTGGTGCCAGTGTGTCCAGTGAGTGTCCAGTGTGTCCAGTGTGTCCAGTGAGTGTCCAGTGTGTGTCCAGTGAGTGTCCAGTGTGTGTCCAGTGAGTGTCCAGTGTGTGTCCAGTGTGTGTCCAGTGTGTGTTCTGCACATGCTCAGTAGAGTCTGTCAGTCCGGGAAGCGGTGCCTCCTCTCTTGTCCCCCCGGCTGTGGGGAGGGCAGACGGCTGCAGTGGGGAAGGGGATGGGATGCCTCAGGTTGCTGGTGGGCGGGGCTTCAGGTGGCATCGGCGTCGGGAGATGCCCCACCCTCCTCCACCTGGTTGGCGCGGCCGAAGGTCTTGACCTTGGACAGAAGGTCGGCCAGCGTCTCTTTGAAGCCTTTCTCCAGCAGCCAGCCCTCGCTCTCACACTCCGGGTTCTCCGGGTCAGCCATCGTCTCCAGGGCCGTGCTCAGGTACTTCAGGCCCGCCACGTCCCCCACCTGTCACACACACACACACACACACACACACACACACACACACGCACACACACACACACACGCACACACACACACACAGACAGAGGACAGGCGAGTCTGGACAGATCAACATGGTTCAGCTCTACACCAAGCAGCAGCTTCTTATTGGAGTGTTCAGCTTTATGAACCAGGGACCGCAGGCCCCTTCTACCCCCTCCCCCCCTTCTGTCCCCTTCTGTCCCCCTCTGCGCCTCCAGGTGAGCTCAGGTGTGTCCTTCAGCCAGTAACTTCAGGTGTTGAAGTTGTTGTTCTGACCCAGATAACGGGCCTCTTAGGAAACATCCCTGTCTTCCCAGAATGCCCCCTGCTGCGGCAGATTAACCCCCAGGCAGATTACCTGCAGCAGCTCAGGACTCCACTCTGGTCAGTCCGAGTCGCTGATGGACTGGACTCGGACTGCGGCCGGTTTCGTGACCGGTCCGGTTCAGAAGCAAACACGGCGGTAAATCTGATTAACGTGGCGGTGTGCCGGGTCACCTGGTGCCGGTTCGGTCCAAGTGTTCTGACGATCATCTTGTTTTAAACGGAGGATTAGGAACGCGGCTGATCCTCCATGAACCCATCCAGGGGTTAACAGACCAACAGGCCCAGATCCACGGTTCTGTTCTTTGGTTCTGTTAACATGTCCAGTCTGAGAAGCCAGGTCAAGGTTCACAGCTGGAATGTTCCAGCGACATCAACCCCTTTCACTTTGACTCCCTGAAAATGTCCCAGGATGCAGCAGAGGACGAACTGGAGAGACCGCACTTAGCATGTTCTCTAACATGCTAACATGCTTCGAGTCTTTCATCCACAACTTCCACCTTCAGAAGCAGGACTAGCTTAAATCAGAGGCTGTCTGTTAGCATGCTAACAGCTATCATTAGCATGCCAGCGCTAACTCTGAAGCAGTTTTTTATGTTCATGTGTTCTTTTGCCAGCATTAAGTTTTAAAGTTTGTTTTCTGAAGAATGAAATCCAATTAAAAACCTCGTCTTATTAGCTTAACGTGCTAATGTAATGCTAACTCTAACAAGTTAAGGTTTCTTCAGGTTGTTAATGACTAAAGGTAATAGTTATACTAGTTATACAAGTTTCTTTCTTTCCAATGTTTCCTTTGATGCTGTGAAGCATGTTAAACTGCTATGCTATCCAATGCTAACCAGATGAACTCGTCTCGTATTGATTCAACGTCACACACCAACAGCTGAGACTGTTTTAGCAGAAAAGAGACCCGACGGTTTGAAGGAGAAACGATGCAACTTCCATAAAAGAAAAGCTTACAATAAGCTAACAGGTGGGTTTGGTGGGTCTGAGGTCCTGAAACCAGACAGAGGCCATGATGAACTGCAGCTGATTATCTATTTAATTTGATTTACTTCCATAGCTCTATAATTCTTAGGCTTCATGGATGATGATCTTTGATTGGGTTTCTGACTGTTTGCCTCCATCTATTGCTAATGCTAGCATGCTAATGGTATTGCAGTAGCATTAGCTAGAAATAACCCTGTCAGGATTATTTTAGAAGGTTTTTGCTGCAGTAAATGGCTTTGAACAGACTTCTGAATGAATGGTACAACACAGCGGTGAACACAGCTAGCTAAAAGGTTAGCTGTGCTAACCCCAATGCTTTAGCTCATGCTGGACTAATGCCATAGCATTTAACAGGGGCTAAAGCTGGTGCCGGAGGCTGATTGGCTGCGGCAGTGTGGGCGGAGTCTTACCTCCAGGATGATGGTGAAGATGAGCAGCGCACCGATGCTGTTCATGATGCCGCTGTAGTAGGAGAAGACGGCCTGGCGGCAGCCGCGGTTCCAGATGTTCAGCTCCTCGGTGCGGTGGTCGTAGTCGTAGTGGGCAGAGTTATTGGTCAGGTGATGCTGGATGCAGGGGCGGGGCGAACCGGGATTACAGCAGCTGAACGGGACGCTGTCCATCAGGTACTTCCCCTCCACATTACTGAGGACACGGCTGAGGGACAAACACAGAGGTCAGAGCCTGCTAGGAGGGAGGATGGGCGCCGGGCGGGGATGGGCGCCGGGCGGGGATGGGCGCCGGGCGGGGATGGGCGCCGGGCGGAGCCTTTTAACGGGCTCTGCTCAGGTAGGACATGGAGAATCATGGAGAGTTCCTCATGGAAGCCTGACCTTCCGAACTGAGCATGCTCAGACTGACTGAACCAATCAGCACAGAAAATACTAAACTTTTAAAAATCAGTGAAAAGTTGCAGCAGCAGTGAGGTGCAGTTCTGGTTCTGCTTCCAGCTCGCAGAGGCTTCACGCCTCCAGCTGGTCATGTTATCATAGAGCTGATTGGTCCTTCAGTACTTCCAATCACTTCCTGCTCCACCCAATATGATCCTGCAACCCCAGCAGAGACCCAGACCGCTCTGCGGTAAACCCACCCTACGCACTAATCAGTTTCAAACACCCTCTGCTTTTTATTATTATTGCTGCAATAACAATCGGTTTTATGCAGATTCGGCTCTTTAACTTTCTAATAGGTCGGGTCTGCTGCAGAACTTTCTCCTGCTGCTGCCTCAGAGGCTGGGAACTTTGACCTCCTTCAGTCCAGATTGATCCCCTGCTGAGTCCCTGAAGGCAACAACCACCTGCAGCTCGACCTCATCAAGCACTAAACCCAACCCAGAACCCGACCCGACCTGCTGTGTCCAGGTACTCACTCTTTGACCCCGTCGTTGCTCATGTCCAGGTAGCGGTTGCTGATCCACTGCACCTCGAACCAGTCCCTGAAGTTGTTGTTTCCGCAGCACCGGAACTCGATCTGAGTCATGTCCAACGTCCGCTTCATGAAGCAGCGTCCCGGCGTGTCCGTGTCCTTGTAGAAGCAGATGGCGTTCTTCAGGCCCTCGGCCAGCGTCAGGTACACGGCGAACTGCATGAGGAAGCAGAGCAGCACCAGCAGCAGCAGCAGCGCGTTGAAGCCGCAGCACAGCAGCATGTAGGGCCGCAGCATCGGCTTCATCTTGGAGAACTTCTGGGGGTCCAGAGAGTCGTGGCACAGCTTCCCCCGAAGGCGTTCAGGCCGCAGGACAGCACGCCCACCAGGATCAGCAGGTTGGGCACCAGGTGGCTCTCGTTGTTGTCCATGATCTCGCTCCTCTTCCTCAGCTCGATCTTGAAGAAGATGCCGAGGCTGAAGAGGATGATGCCCACGATGACGGCGAGCCAGTAGAGCATCCAGAGACCCTGAGCCAGCTTGACCCGCTTCTGCAGGTTGAACTTCAGCGACAGGAACGGCATGGCGTCGACTCACGGCGACGATCCCCAACGGCTCTGCGGAACGACGAGGCTCAGAGCTGCAAACCGTCCCAGGAGGAGCTCAGGAACTGGACCGCAGGGTTCTGAGTCATGATGCAGAACCGGCAGCAGGAACCAGCACGAAGCGGAGCGGAGGTGTGAATGTGAGCGGCAGCCTGGCGTCCTGCTAAAGCCGCTCCTGATCTGATTAGCAGCGGATCATCTGAGGCTGTAATCCTCCAATTACTGCTAATGGGTTTGGAGCTAAGCAGCAGCTTCCTTCCTGTCAGAGGGCTCACCTGGCCCCGCCCCCGGGCACCTGGCCCCGCCCCCGCGCACCTGGCCCCGCCCCCGGGCAGGTGAGGCCCTGAGGATGCCATTACTATGACAACAGATTGTCAACAGTCAACACCTCCAGTGTCCATCAGAGGACAATGCCCCCCATGTTACCCCAAATGCCCCCATGTTACCCCAAATGCCCCCATGTTACCCCAAATGCCCCCATGTTTTGACTTTTTGCACGGGAGTTGCAATAGAAATTTCGTTGAATCCTGTTCAATGACAATAAATGCTATTCTATTCTATTCTATTCAAATGCCCCCATGTTACCCCAAATGCCCTCATGTCACCCCAAATGCCCCCATGTTACCCCAAATGCCCCCATGTTACCCCAAATGCCCCCCATGTTACCCCAAATGCCCCATGTTACCCCAAATGCCCCCCCCAAATGCCCCCCCCTTACCCCAAATGCCCCCATGTTACCCCAAATGCCCCCCATGTCACCCCAAATGCCCCCATGTTACCCCAAATGCCCCCATGTTACCCCAAATGCCCCCATGTTACCCAGAACCACAAGCCCGGCTCTGGTCGGGTTGTTTGGACAGTGAGCGGACTCAGAGGTTCTTTAAAGCCCGTTTTATTGGTTCTGTTCTACAGGTTAAAGTGACGTTACCGGGGCGCAGCGTCAGCCGGACCCGGTCCGTTTCTGGTCCGGTTCCGACACTCCGCTTCCCCAAACACACAAACAGGAAGTGATGTCATACGCTCTCGGCTCGTTAAATAACACATTAAAGCGGAAGTGAATAAAACCCGATCAGATTCGGCTCGTCGACCTGGTTGCCATGGAGACACGGTTTTCGTGACGACGTCTGAGTAATCTGATTACTCTCCCCTGTGTTGCCATGGAGACCCAGTCCATCAAAATGCAACGTACACCTGACAGAGGTCACTTGACCTCCAGCCAATCAGGTGATCTCTGATTTGCTGACTGAGGGGGTAGGGTTGACAGTAAGAGGTCAAAGGTCAGAATCCAAACACACTAAAAAATCCCTGAAAGCTGCTCCGACCTCAGGCTGCAGCTGCAGCGAGCTGATTGGTTCAAAGAGGTTCGTTAGTGGGCGGGGCTAGTCCGCGGTCACAGGTGCTGCCAGTCGATGGCGACCAGCGTCTGATTGGCCTCCTGAGCGTGACCTATGACCTCAGCAATGCCGTGCTGCCGCCACAGACGCTCAATCTTCTGGTAGCGTTCCGAGGAAAGGTGGAGCGGATTCCCCCGCCTGCAGGAACAAATAAAATCAATCCATCAATAATCACTTCATCAGATAATGCCGACTCAGCACCATCCTGGTTTCATCCGATCAGACCAAACCAGGATTTATTCCGCAGACCAAAGAGATCGATCACAGATTCATTGATGCTTCGCTACCAAACCAACGACTTATTGATTATTGATGAGTTAAAGGAAATAAACAGCAGATCGACTGAATGCATGTTTGTTAATAAAAACAAACATTATAATCCTACCCATCATCTGCTCAAACTTAGGGTTAACTGGTTCCCCTTTACATTCTGGTGCCGATCCGGTAATATCTAAGAACTTATCTGTGGGTCTGGACCTGTTCTAAAACAAAGTGTGGCTCAGTTTGAACTCTGCTGCCACCTAGTGGCTCCACCTGATTACTAACCCTGTACCACTTCATGACCCACTTCTCTAATCCCCTCAATACAATGGTCTATTAAAGGCCTTCAGAAACACAATGGAATAATAACAGTCCATTAACAATGGTGTTTTAAAATTACACTACTTGACTCAAGAGCAAAATGAATTGGTGATATTTTAATGCAAAATGATAAAATAGAAAAGCCAAACTTATTGGCTTCTGATTGGCATGAGCGCTGACTGATCAGTTAAGGCTCCAGGATCATTTCATTCCGGCCGCGTTCACCTGCTGCCCTGGTTTTGTGCAACAGCTCTGCGGTGGACGGGTCCCCCACTGGGGCCCCAGAGAGCAGAGCTAACTAACTCTGACTAGAGGGCAGCTCAGTGATGCTCCAGACAGGACAAATCAACTCAACTCTGAGTCAAGTTACCTCGAGTTCTGAGTTCAGAAGCCCTGATCAATGGAGCCCAGATAAAACATTAGGACATACTTGAGGCCAGGGTCGGTTTCTCCATAGTCGTCCAGGTACGGTGGGGGATAGAAGCAGCCCTTAGTTTTACCTGCAACAAACAACACCTGGCTCTCCCTGACCCTGCACACACACACACACACACACACACACACACACACACACACACACGGTAACATCGTCGCAGCCTCAATAACAGGTGTAATAAACGCAGGGCAGCTGTGTTACCTGAGGAATAGGCCAACGCCCGCCCCACAAGTGAAGGTGTGGGCGGTGCAGGCGCCGACGTCTTCTCCCCCACCTCCGTCTGGCAGCAGTAGCTCTGAGAGCACAGCATGCAGCCACAAACCAGGCAGAGCGTGGGGGCGCGAGACTTATCCCCACCGGACCGCGGACACCTGCAAAGGACACACAGCGGCTAGCTTCAGGGGCTAGCTTTAGGAGCTAGCTCCAGGGGCTAGCTTTAGGAGCTAGCTTCAGGGACTAGCTTTAGGAGCTAGCCTCAGGGGCTAGCTTTAAGCGCTAGCGTCAGGGGCTAGCTTTAGGAGCTAGCCTCAGGGGCTAGCTTTAGGCGCTAGCCTCAGGGGCTAGCTTAGGTGCTAGCCTCAGGGGCTAGCTGGCTAGCTTTAAGCGCTAGCCTCAGGGGCTAGCTTTAGGCGCTAGCCTCAGGGGCTAGCTTTAGGCGCTAGCCTCAGGGGCTAGCTGGTTAGCTTTAAGCGCTAGCGTCAGGGGCTAGCTTTAGGCGCTAGCCTCAGGGGCTAGCTTTAGGAGCTAGCCTCAGGGGCTAGCTGGCTAGCTTTAAGCGCTATCCTCAGGGGCTAGCTTTAGGAGCTAGCCGCAGGGGCTAGCACCAGCCTGCAGTTCTCCTCCTTTCATTCGGGGTCGCTCACGTGAAGCTGGAGGCCTGGTTGATCAGGATGCTGTAGTCTTCTGGCAGATCGATCAACCTGTTGGACTCTCTGGGGAACCGCACCAAGACTCCGCCCCCATGGAGCACCTGGCTCACACCTGGATGGCAGCACCACCTGGAGCAACACACACACACTCAGTGACAGCTGCCCCACTGGGTTGTTCTGGCTTTGGTTTCTCTAATGGCCAGCAGCAGATCATCTGGCTGGTCAGATATCAATTTACATAAATCGGACTGGGAGTAGACTGCGGACTATGGCGGGGAATTAGAGGGGAGGATCAGGTCAGAGTTCATGACCAACACATGACACGACTTCGCTGCTCCTCCTCCTTCTGCCCCCCCGGGGCTGATGTGACGCACCTGGCAGCTCACCTGGACCAGTGGTCAGGTGGGTTACCTGTGGATTAGCGGTTCCAGCAGTGTACGGTGTTTCTGGTACAGCAGCAGCAGATTGGAGGGCAGACTGAGGTAGCTACACAGCGCCTCCCACTGGCCAGGTCCAGTACCTACAGCCAATAACAAACGGGTTCAAGTGAAGCTGCCACAGTGGAGGTGTTCAGTGTGCAGGTGCTCTCACCCAGCAGGTCAGCAGGGGGCGACGCAGAGTTCATGTAGTGGAAGAAGAGGGCTGCGGTGCGGAGGAAGGGCAGGACGCCGGCTCGGACACACCTCCATAGTCGCCCACCCAGAGGGCACGTCAGGTAAACACCTGCTCAACACACACGCCTCGTCAGCCGATCGCATTCTCCACCCACACGCCTGATGGAACCAGCGTCACTTACCTGCCCAGGAGATCCCTCAGTCTGCCGTACAGCTGACAGGTGAGCCGCTCCTCCTCTGAGTCCTCGCCGTCCTGATCCATACTCAGCTCACCTGGACACCACAGGACGAGCCGTCTCTGTCTGAATGTCCTTCCCTACCGGCGCTGAAGGTGAGCAGCACCTGAACCAGGTGAGCCAAAGTGACCAGGTGAAGCAGGTGAAGGTGAGCTGAATCCACAGAGCTTTGTCCTGATTGGTCCAGACTGTGCAGAGAGTTGTAGGACAAGACGCTGTACACCTGCAGACAGGAGACAGGGGTCACATGAGGGTCACCTGGGGGTCACATGAGGGTCACCTGGACACTACCAGGACTCACCAGGAGGTGGAACATGTCCACGTCCAGGATGCAGGGAGTGTCCTCCAGCTGGGAGTCCGGAACCAGAACCAGCACTGGACCAGACAGAAACCAGTTAGTGTGTGTGTAGTGTGTGTGTGTAGTGTGTAGTTTGTGTGTAGTGGTGTGTGTAGTGTGTAGTTTGTGTGTAGTGGTGTGTGTGTAGTGGTGTGTGTGTAGTGGTGTGTGTGTAGTGTGTAGTTTGTGTGTAGTGGTGTGTGTGTAGTGTGTAGTTTGTGTGTAGTGGTGTGTGTGTGTGTGTGTAGTGTGTGTGTAGTGGTGTGTGTAGTGTGTGTGTAGTGGTGTGTGTGTGTGTGTAGTGTGTGTGTAGTGGTGTGTGTAGTGTGTAGTGTGTGTGTAGTGGTGTGTGTAGTGTGTAGTGTGTGTGTAGTGTGTGTGTAGTGTGTGTGTGTGTGTGTAGTGTGTAGTTTGTGTGTAGTGTGTGTGTAGTGTGTGTGCAGTGTGTGTGTAGTGTGTAGTGTGTGTGTAGTGTGTGTGTAGTGTGTAGTTTGTGTGTAGTGTGTGTGTAGTGTGTGTGTAGTGTGTAGTTTGTGTGTAGTGTGTGTAGTGTGTAGTGTGTGTGTAGTTTGTGTGTAGTGTGTAGTTTGTGTGTAGTGTGTGTAGTGTGTAGTTTGTGTGTAGTGTGTGTGTAGTTTGTGTAGTGTGTAGTTTGTGTGTAGTGTGTAGTTTGTGTGTAGTGTGTAGTTTGTGTGTAGTGTGTGTGTAGTGTGTAGTTTGTGTGTAGTGTGTGTGTAGTTTGTGTGTAGTGTGTAGTTTGTGTGTAGTGTGTGTGTAGTTTGTGTAGTGTGTAGTTTGTGTGTAGTTTGTGTGTAGTGTGTGTAGTGTGTAGTGTGTGTGTAGTTTGTGTGTAGTGTGTGTGTAGTGTGTGTGTAGTGTGTGTGTAGTTTGTGTGTAGTGTGTGTGTAGTGTGTGTAGTGTGTAGTGTGTGTGTAGTTTGTGTGTAGTGTGTGTGTAGTGTGTGTGTAGTGTGTAGTTTGTGTGTAGTGTGTGTGTAGTGTGTAGTGTGTGTAGTTTGTGTGTAGTGTGTGTGTAGTGTGTGTGTAGTGTGTAGTTTGTGTGTAGTTTGTGTGTAGTGTGTGTGGTGTGTAGTGGTGTGTGTAGTGTGTAGTGTGTGTGTAGTGTGTAGTTTGTGTGTAGTGTGTGTGTAGTTTGTGTGTAGTGTGTGTGTAGTGGTGTGTAGTGTGTAGTTTGTGTGTAGTGTGTAGTGTGTGTGTAGTTTGTGTGTAGTGTGTGTGTAGTGTGTGTGGTGTGTAGTTTGTGTGTAGTGTGTGTGTGGTGTGTGTGTAGTGTGTGTGTAGTGTGTAGTGTGTGTGTAGTTTGTGTGTAGTGTGTAGTTTGTGTGTAGTGTGTGTGTAGTGTGTGTGTAGTGTGTAGTTTGTGTGTAGTGTGTGTGTGGTGTGTGTGTAGTGTGTGTGTAGTGTAGTGTGTGTAGTGTGTGTGTAGTGTGTGTAGTGTGTAGTTTGTGTGTAGTGTGTGTGTAGTGTGTGTGTGTGTGTGTGTAGTGTGTGTGTAGTGTGTGTGTGGTGTGTGTGTGTGTGTGTAGTTTGTGTGTAGTGTGTAGTTTGTGTGTAGTGTGTGTGTAGTGTGTGTAGTGTGTAGTTTGTGTGTAGTGTGTGTGTGGTGTGTGTGTAGTGTGTGTAGTGTGTAGTGTGTGTGTAGTGTGTGTAGTGTGTAGTTTTGTGTAGTGTGTGTGTAGTGTGTGTGTAGTGTGTAGTGTGTGTGTAGTGTGTGTAGTGTGTAGTTTGTGTGTAGTGTGTGTGTAGTGTGTGTAGTGTGTGTGTAGTGTGTGTGTAGTTTGTGTGTAGTGTGTAGTGTGTGTGTAGTGTGTGTGTAGTTTGTGTGTAGTTTGTGTGTAGTGTTGTGTAGTGTGTAGTGTGTGTGTAGTGTGTGTGTAGTGGTGTGTAGTGTGTGTGTAGTGTGTGTGTAGTGTGTGTAGTGTGTAGTGTGTGTGTAGTGTGTAGTTTGTGTGTAGTGTGTGTAGTGTGTGTGTAGTGTGTAGTTTGTGTGTAGTGTGTGTGTAGTGTGTGTGTAGTGTGTAGTTTGTGTGTAGTGGTGTGTAGTGTGTAGTTTGTGTGTAGTGTGTGTAGTGTGTGTGTAGTTTGTGTGTAGTGCTGTGTGTAGTGTGTGTGTAGTGTGTGTGTAGTTTGTGTGTAGTGTGTGTGTAGTGTGTAGTTTGTGTGTAGTGCTGTGTGTAGTGTGTGTGTAGTGTGTGTGTAGTTTGTGTGTAGTGTGTGTGTAGTGTGTGTGTAGTGTGTGTAGTGTGTGTGTAGTGTGTGTGTAGTGTGTAGTTTGTGTGTAGTGTGTGTGTAGTGTGTGTGTAGTGTGTAGTGTGTGTGTAGTGTGTGTAGTGTGTGTGTAGTGTGTGTGTAGTGTGTAGTTTGTGTGTAGTGTGTGTGTAGTTTGTGTAGTGTGTGTGTAGTGTGTGTGTAGTGTGTGTGTAGTGTGTGTGTAGTTTGTGTGTAGTGTGTGTGTAGTGTGTGTGTAGTGTGTGTGTAGTGTGTGTGTAGTGTGTAGTTTGTGTGTAGTGCTGTGTGTAGTGTGTGTGTAGTTTGTGTGTAGTGTGTGTGTAGTGTGTGTGTAGTGTGTGTGTAGTTTGTGTGTAGTGTGTGTGTAGTGTGTGTGTAGTGTGTAGTGTGTGTGTAGTGTGTAGTGTGTAGTTTGTGTGTAGTGTGTGTGTAGTGTGTGTGTAGTGTGTAGTGTGTGTGTAGTGTGTAGTTTGTGTGTAGTGTGTGTGTAGTGTGTGTAGTGTGTAGTTTGTGTGTAGTGTGTGTGTAGTGTGTGTGTAGTGTAGTGTGTTTGTAGTGTGTAGTTTGTGTGTAGTGTGTGTGTAGTGTGTAGTTTGTGTAGTGTGTGTGTAGTGTGTGTAGTGTGTAGTTTGTGTGTAGTGGTGTAGTGTGTAGTTTGTGTGTAGTGTGTGTGTAGTGTGTGTGTAGTTTGTGTGTAGTGCTGTGTGTAGTGTGTGTGTAGTGTGTGTGTAGTGTGTGTGTAGTTTGTGTGTAGTGTGTGTGTAGTGTGTAGTTTGTGTGTAGTGCTGTGTGTAGTGTGTGTAGTTTGTGTGTAGTGTGTGTGTAGTGTGTGTGTAGTTTGTGTGTAGTGTGTGTAGTGTGTGTGTAGTTTTGTGTGTAGTGTGTGTGTAGTGTGTAGTTTGTGTGTAGTGCTGTGTGTAGTGTGTGTGTAGTTGTGTGTAGTGTGTGTGTGTAGTTTGTGTAGTGTGTGTGTAGTGTGTGTGTAGTGTGTGTGTAGTGTGTAGTTTGTGTGTAGTGTGTGTAGTGTGTGTGTAGTTTGTGTGTAGTGTGTGTAGTGTGTAGTTTGTGTGTAGTGCTGTGTGTAGTGTGTGTGTAGTTTGTGTGTAGTGTGTGTGTAGTGTGTAGTTTGTGTGTAGTGCTGTGTGTAGTTTGTGTGTAGTGTGTGTGTAGTGTGTGTGTAGTTTGTGTGTAGTTTGTGTGTAGTGTGTGTGTAGTGTGTGTGTAGTGTGTGTGTAGTTTTGTGTGTAGTGTGTGTAGTGTGTGTGTAGTGTGTAGTGTGTGTAGTGTGTGTGTAGTTTGTGTGTAGTGTGTGTAGTGTGTAGTTTGTGTGTAGTGTGTGTGTAGTTTGTGTGTAGTGTGTGTGTAGTGTGTGTGGTGTGTAGTTTGTGTGTAGTGTGTGTGTAGTGTGTGTGTAGTGTGTGTGGTGTGTAGTTTGTGTGTAGTGTGTGTAGTGTGTGTGGTGTGTAGTTTGTGTGTAGTGTGTGTGTAGTGTGTGTGGTGTGTAGTTTGTGTGTAGTGTGTGTGTAGTGTGTGTGTGTAGTGTGTGTGGTGTGTAGTTTGTGTGTAGTGTGTGTGTAGTGTGTGTGTAGTGTGTGTGTAGTGTGTGTGGTGTGTAGTTTGTGTGTAGTGTGTGTGTAGTGTGTGTAGTGTGTAGTTTGTGTGTAGTGTGTGTGTAGTTTGTGTGTAGTGTGTGTGTGTAGTGTGTGTGTAGTGTGTAGTGTGTGTAGTGTGTGTGTAGTGTGTGTGTAGTTTGTGTGTAGTGTGTGTGTAGTGTGTGTGTAGTGTGTAGTGTGTGTGTAGTGTGTAGTGTGTGTAGTGTGTGTGTAGTGTGTGTGTAGTGTGTGTGTAGTTTGTGTGTAGTGTGTGTGTAGTGTGTGTGTAGTGTGTGTGTAGTTTGTGTGTAGTGTGTGTGTAGTGTGTGTGTAGTGTGTAGTGTGTGTGTAGTGTGTGTAGTGTGTAGTGTGTGTGTAGTGTGTGTAGTGTGTAGTTTGTGTGTAGTGTGTGTGTAGTGTGTAGTTTGTGTGTAGTGTGTGTGTAGTGTGTGTAGTGTGTGTGTAGTGTGTAGTTTGTGTGTAGTGTGTGTAGTGTGTAGTTTGTGTGTAGTGTGTGTGTAGTGTGTGTGTAGTTTGTGTGTAGTGTGTGTGTAGTGTGTGTGTAGTGTGTAGTGTGTGTGTAGTGTGTGTGTAGTTTGTGTGTAGTGTGTGTGTAGTGTGTGTGTAGTTTGTGTGTAGTGTGTGTGTAGTGTGTAGTTTGTGTGTAGTGTGTGTGTGTGTAGTTTGTGTGTAGTGTGTGTGTAGTGTGTAGTGTGTGTGTAGTGTGTGTGTAGTTTGTGTGTAGTGTGTGTAGTGTGTGTGTAGTTTGTGTGTAGTGTGTGTGTAGTGTGTAGTTTGTGTGTAGTGTGTGTAGTGTAGTTTGTGTGTAGTGTGTGTAGTTTGTGTGTAGTGTGTGTGTAGTGTGTGTGTAGTTTGTGTGTGTGTAGTGTGTGTGTACTGTGTGTGTAGTTTGTGTGTAGTGTGTGTAGTTTGTGTGTAGTGTGTGTGTAGTGTGTGTAGTGTGTGTATGTAGTGTGTAGTGTGTGTAGTGTGTGTGTAGTGTGTAGTGTGTGTGTAGTGTGTGTAGTGTGTAGTTTGTGTGTAGTGTGTGTAGTGTGTAGTTTGTGTGTAGTGGTGTGTAGTGTGTAGTTTGTGTGTAGTGTGTGTGTAGTGTGTGTGTAGTTTGTGTGTAGTGTGTGTAGTGTGTGTGTAGTGTGTAGTGTGTGTGTAGTGTGTAGTGTGTGTGTAGTGTGTGTGTAGTTTGTGTGTAGTGTGTGTAGTGTGTGTAGTTTGTGTGTAGTGTGTAGTTTGTAGTTTGTGTGTAGTGTGTGTGTAGTTTGTGTGTAGTGTGTGTGTGTGTGTGTAGTGTGTGTGTAGTTTGTGTGTAGTTTGTGTGTAGTGTGTAGTGTGTGTGTGTGTGTGTAGTTTGTGTGTAGTGTGTGTGTAGTTTGTGTGTAGTGTGTGTGTAGTGTGTGTGTAGTGTGTGTGTAGTTTGTGTGTAGTGTGTGTAGTGTGTGTGTAGTTTGTGTGTAGTGTGTGTGTAGTGTGTAGTTTGTGTGTAGTGTGTAGTTTGTGTGTAGTGTGTGTGTAGTTTGTGTGTAGTGTGTGTGTAGTGTGTGTGTAGTGTGTGTGTAGTGTGTGTGTAGTTTGTGTGTAGTGTGTAGTGTGTGTGTACTGTGTGTGTAGTTTGTGTGTAGTGTGTGTGTAGTTTGTGTGTAGTGTGTGTGTAGTGTGTGTGTAGTGTGTGTGTATGTAGTGTGTAGTGTGTGTGTAGTGTGTGTGTAGTGTGTAGTGTGTGTGTTGTGTGTAGTGTGTAGTTTGTGTGTAGTGTGTGTAGTGTGTAGTTTGTGTGTAGTGGTGTGTAGTGTGTAGTTTGTGTGTAGTGTGTGTGTAGTGTGTGTGTAGTTTGTGTGTAGTGTGTGTGTGTGTGTGTAGTGTAGTGTGTGTGTAGTGTGTAGTGTGTGTGTAGTGTGTGTGTAGTTTGTGTGTAGTGTGTGTGTAGTGTGTGTAGTTTGTGTGTAGTGTGTGTGTAGTGTGTAGTTTGTGTGTAGTGTGTGTAGTGTGTAGTTTGTGTGTAGTGTGTGTAGTTTGTGTGTAGTGTGTGTGTAGTGTGTGTGTAGTGTGTGTGTAGTTTGTGTGTAGTGTGTGTGTAGTGTGTGTAGTTTGTGTGTAGTGTGTGTGTAGTGTGTAGTTTGTGTGTAGTGTGTGTAGTGTGTAGTTTGTGTGTAGTGTGTGTGTAGTTTGTGTGTAGTGTGTGTGTAGTGTGTGTGTAGTTCGTGTGTAGTTTGTGTGTAGTGTGTAGTGTGTGTGTAGTGTGTGTGTAGTTTGTGTAGTGTGTGTGTAGTTTGTGTGTGTGTGTGTGTGTGTGTGTAGTGTGTGTATGTAGTGTGTAGTGTGTGTGTGTGTGTTGTGTGTAGTGTGTGTGTGTGTGTTGTGTGTAGTGTGTGTGTGTGGTGTGTAGTTTGTGTGTAGTGTTGTGTAGTGTGTGTGTTGTGTGTGTGTAGTGTGTGTGTGTGTGTGTAGTGTGTAGTTTGTGTGTGTGTGTAGTTTGTAGTTTGTGTGTAGTGGTGTGTGTAGTGTGTGTGTGTAGTGTGTAGTGTGTGTGTGTGTAGTGTGTAGTTTGTAGTTTGTGTGTTGTGTGTGTGTAGTGTGTGTGTGTGTGTAGTGTGTGTGTGTAGTGTGTAGTGTGTGTGTAGTGTGTAGTTTGTGTGTGTGTGTAGTGTGTAGTTTGTAGTTTGTAGTTTGTGTGTAGTGTGTGTGTTGTGTGTGTGTAGTGTGTGTGTGTGTGTGTAGTGTGTGTGTTGTGTGTGTAGTGTGTGTGTTGTGTGTGTGTAGTGTGTGTGTTGTGTGTGTAGTGTGTGTGTGTGTGTGTGTAGTGTGTGTAGTGTGTAGTTTGTGTGTGTAGTGTGTGTGTAGTGTGTAGTGTGTGTAGTGTGTAGTTTGTGTGTGTAGTGTGTGTGTAGTGTGTGTGTGTAGTGTGTAGTTTGTGTGTGTAGTGTGTGTGTAGTGTGTAGTGTGTGTGTGTAGTGTGTAGTTTGTGTGTGTAGTGTGTAGTGTGTGTGTAGTGTGTGTGTTGTGTGTGTGTAGTGTGTAGTTTGTAGTTTGTGTGTAGTGTTGTGTTGTGTGTGTGTATGTAGTGTGTAGTGTGTGTAGTGTGTGTAGTGTAGTTTGTGTGTAGTTTTGTAGTTTGTGTACCCGACAGCAGCCTGATGAAATGGTTCTGAACGGTTCTGATCGGAGCGGTGGTCCAGCAGGCTGAACTGAACCGGTCAGAGAACTCAGACAGTCATCCTGAAACAAGGCAGGTCAGGCAGAGGTCAGAGATCAGAGGTAACCCTGAGGCTGAAGGTGTAACACCAGGAGGAGCTCTCACCTGTCGGCAAGGTAAGCTCCCAAACAACGGCTTCTTGTCATCCATCAGGAGGCGCTCTGCAACGAGACAGACAGGAAACAGTCAGTCCTTAGCAAGGGTTACCTGCCAGGTGAGGCCTGCCAGGTGAGGCCTGCCAGGTGAGGCCTGCCAGGTGAGGCCTGCCAGGTGAGGCCTGCCAGGTGAGGCCTGCCAGGTGAGGCTGCCAGGTGAGGGCTACCTATGCTCTGTATAGTGTAGGCGCAGGTGGACCAGCTCAGCACCGGGACTCGGGGGTCCTGCTCGTTGGGGTTGACCTTGAGGCCGATCTTGTAGGCCGACATGCTGAAAGTGTTGATCATCTCGCTGACGCCGCTGGAGAACGGATTCCTGAGGGAGGAAGTGACATCGCTGCTGATATCATCAGTAGTACCGCTTAGCCCCGCCCCCCAGACGTCGGGACTCACTGTGGAACAAAGCCGACCCTGAACCCGTCAAGAAACTCCAGCTCCACCTGCTGGGCTGCACCTGCAACACACACCCACCTGAACACCTGAACACCCGCTGATAGCCCCGCCCCCCAGCAGGTGACTGACCATATGACTGCTTCCTGTGGGTGGAGTCTAGTGCTGCTGCCTGCTGAGTGGTTCTCTTCAGCCAGGTCTCTAGACATGGATGCTCCACACTAAGGACAAACAGAATCAGAAGCTCCGGCAGCGCGGCACGTCACACGTGTACCTGAGCGTGCGGTACCTGCGGTCAGGTGAGCAGGCGTGAGGCAGCAGGGGGATGACGGTGTTGCTCAGACACTCGCACAGCGGACACAGGAATTCCCCGTTCTCCACGTCGTAGCTGGTGTGACCTCTGAGCCGCTGCTGCCGCCGCTGCTCCTTCTGCTGCACCGCCTCAAAGTACCTGAGCACACACAGGTGGGGTCAGACGGGGTCAGGCCGCCCGCCTGTCGATGGGACGGACATGGCTGCAGGTGGTCACCTCTGCCAGCAGGTGGCGTGCATGATGTGTCCGCAGCTGGCGGTGTGTACGCCCACCGAGAGGTCAGGGTGCATGAAGAGCGGGTCGGCGTTCTGCAACAGAGACGAGTTGTCAGCTCCGACCAATCGGGGAACAGGTGGCAGAGGCCACGGCTAAGCTCCGCCCACCTGCGTCGGGGAGGGCGCGGCTGCGGTTCTTGGACAGCACGGTGGATCTCTGGATGAATGCTGCCAGCACCATGGCTCTGCCGTGACCTCTGACCTCCTGCTCCTCCTGACACAGGATGCAGGTGACCAGCTGGCGGCGCTCGGCCCCTCCCGACCGGCAGGGGCCCAGGCAGATCTGAGCGGCACAGGTGGGCTCCGACCTGCGAGGACTGGGAGCAAGGAGAACTCAGTGGAGACAAACAGAAACCACTGGACAGGTGGGTGTCCAGGTGTGTACAGAGGAGAGCCTCCAGGTGTACCTGGGCTCGGCGGCGGCGGCCTCCAGCTCCTCCATGCTCTGCTGGAACAGCTCCTTGTTCTCGTTGATGAATGTTTCTGCATCTCAGACATCTGGGCCATGACCTTCTCCCTGCGGAGCCGCGCCATCTCCGCCTTCCTTTTCCTCTCCGCCTTGTCCTTCACCATCTGCGGGACGCCGACCAATCAGAGGGCAAGTCGGACAGGAAGCCGGCCAATCGGCGAGAGGGCGGGTCGGATAGACAGGAGGCGAAGGACTCACCTCCTCTGGGCGGCGGCTGTGGCTGACGCTGACGCTGGAGCCAGACGTTCGCTCCCTGGAGGTTTTGATGTTTCCCACCATCTGCACACCAACACACCACAACTGACTCACTGGGAACCAGTTCAGCCACTGGAGCAGCCACTGGAGCAGCCACTGGAGCAGCTACCTTGAGGATCCAGGTGATCATGTCCTTGTGGACCTCCAGGTGAGGGGCGCTCTGCAGGCTCTCCAGCAGAGCCAGGATGCTTCCGGAGGTGCTGGGAGTCTCACTGGACCTGAAACACAAGTCAGTCCCGGTCAGACCGGTTCCTCCTCACCTGCACACCAGGTGAGCTGAGCTCAGGTACTGACGTGTGATCTTGCTGCTGAAAGGTGAAGGAGATGTCTTCGTCTCCGCCGCCGCTCTCCAGCTGCTGCTGCTCCTCCAGCAGCGCCATGGCAACCAGGTGCAGCACCTGCAGGGAGAGGCAGCATTGGAACCAGAACCAGAACCGGGACCGGAACCGGGACGAGGACCAGAACCAGAACCAGGACTCACCCTCTGCAGCATGGACTCGGTCCAGCCTCCTCCGCTGGGCTCCGCGGCCCACTGCAGCACGGCGCCCTCTAGTGCCAGCAGCGCGTCGCACTGCAGCAGGTTGACCAGGCTGCCGAACAGCGGGCAGAGGGGGGGCGGCCGGGGCGGGGGCAGGGCTGCACGCACACACAGGTAACCATGGTGACCAGGTGAGTCAGATAAGTATCTCATTCGGGAGCCGCCAATAAATTTATTAAATGCTTTTGTATTGAAGTTATAACATTTGTTATAACTTTTTTAAAAATTGTAAAAATGTTACTTTATGGATAAAACTCTTCTAGGGTTAAAGGTCAGAGGTATGTGCAGCGACTGCAGCCTATTATAAAGCCCTTTTTACTATTATCAAAACTGTAGAAAAAAATGACCTTTTGTACGTAGCGAGTCTGTGGGGGTCAAAGGGCACGAAGCCTAATTCTTATTGAATGAGCGGAGTTTGAACCTCCTATAGTTCTGAGATCCAGCCTGAGCTTTTCACCGTGTGCGGTTCTGACGGGTCGCTGGTCGGCCGACATCTGCTCTTCTGTCCAGATGGGGATGGATATCCGCCCAGATGGGGGATGGATATCTGCCCAGATGGGGGGTGGATATCCGCCCAGATGGGGGGTGGATATCCGCCCAGATGGGGGGTGGATACCCGCCCAGATGGGGGATGGATATCCGCACAGATGGGGGATGGATATCCGCCCAGATGGGGGATGGATATCTGCCCAGATGGGGGGTGGATACCCGCCCAGATGGGGGATGGATATCCGCACAGATGGGGGATGGATATCCGCCCAGATGGGGGATGGATATCCGCCCAGATGGGGGATGGATATCTGCCCAGATGGGGGGTGGATATCCGCCCAGATGGGGGGTGGATATCTGCCCAGATGGGGGGTGGATATCTGCCCAGATGGGGGATGGATATCCGCCCAGATGGGGGATGGATATCCGCCCAGATGGGGGGTGGATACCCGCCCAGATGGGGGGTGGATATCCGCCCAGATGGGGGATGGATATCCGCCCAGATGGGGGGTGGATATCCGCCCAGATGGGGGATGGATATCCGCCCAGATGGGGGGTGGATATCCGCCCAGATGGGGGGTGGATATCCACCCAGATGGGGATGGATATCCGCACAGATGGGGGATGGATATCCGCCCAGATGGGGGGTGGATATCCGCCCAGATGGGGGGTGGATATCCGCCCAGATGGGGGGTGGATATCCGCCCAGATGGGGGATGGATATCCGCCCAGATGGGGGATGGATACCCGCCCATTCCCCAGAAGTGATTCTAAACTTCTGGGTCGTTTAGAGTCACAGAAAATCTCCAGCAGGGGATCAAAGTTCGAACTGAACTACGAAGCTCTGATGACAGAAAGACGATGAGCCACGTCTGCCACGGTAACAGCACTACGATCAGGCAGCATGGAATCGTACATGTATGACGGTTCATGTAATTCCCGTCCTAACTTCGTGTTGCTCTGGACCGTGAAGCAGCTCCAGCCCCAGGTCGGTGACCCCTGACCTCTGACAGGAAGTGGTGCTCACCTGTGTCCTCGCCGTTCTGCCTCCTCAGCTTCCTCTGAGCCTCCTCGGCCTGAAACACAACCCGTAACTATGACAAGCCGTAACCACCCGAGCAAGCGCTGGAGCCGGATCGGTTCCGACCCGGTTACCTTCGACTGATCTGCCCGGCTGTAGTGATGGAAGTACAGGTCGAAGTGTTTGGACCACTCAGGACGCAGCTCATACAGGCCCCGCCCGTCACACCTGGCTTCCTGTCAACACAACACACCTGCTGCTGACCGCTGTTAAGGTGGACATGTTTAAGGCAGAAGGCCAACAAACACAGACTGACCTGAATAACGCAACGCTCTCAATGACTCTCTCAAGACCCGTCTCCTTGTTGCCCTGAAAAACACCACGCAGCCAGGTGAGCGGCCAGGTGAGCGGCCAGGTGAGCGGCCAGGTGAGCGGCCAGGTGAGCGGCCAGGTAACCATATAACGGCTGTGTCTTACGTTCTCAGGCAGAGCCTTGACCAGCTCGCTATGAGCCATGGGTCTGATGCACAGCTGGTGGAGGATCTCCCTCCTCACCTCATCCAGCGGCTCCACCTGGCCGACGCCCGGAACGTAGCGCTCACCTGGAGGACCGGGACACGCCAGAGGTCAGCTCACCTGCCACAGGTCAGCCAGAGGTCAGCTCACCTGCCGGACTCACCTACCACCATGATAATGAGGTGCAGCATCTCCTCTATCAGCGTGTTCTGCTGGGCCAGGTCCTGCAAACAAACCGCACAGAACCGGGAATTGAATTATACGTCCATATTGCCCATCCCAAACCCAACCCGTTCTGGGTTCTGACCCGGTTCTGACCTTGTTGGCCTCCCTGTATCTCCTCCGCAAGTCGGCAGCGCTGAAGGTGTGGAAGAGTTCGAAGCGGCTCAGAACAATCATCAGGAAATGGTTTGGATCCATCATGGAGGCACCGACCTGGAGAAACAGCAGCTGTTACCGGACCAACCAGAACCAAAACAGAACCAGAGCTGACTCAAGCGGGCCCAACTAGAACCACCTTACCTGAAGCATGGCCAGGTCCTTGTCGAACATCTCCACTCTGCACTTGACGTTGTGGTAATAGTAGATCTGGAACACAGGAAGCATCAGCAGCTGTTCCTGCACACCTGGGCCTCTCAGCCAATCACAGACGCTCACCTGGTTGATCAGAGAGAAGCCGTTCCTCCTCCACATCCCAGCATGCACCTGGGCACAGAGCACCAGGCAGCGCAGCGGCAACTCTATCAGCTGGTGAGGGCTGAGCTCCCCCTGGTGGACAGAGGCAGTGATTGGTCAGGAGACCGGAGGTCGCCCGGCTGGCCGGCCACCAGAGGTCAGCCGGCCACCACAGGTCAGCCGGCCACCAGAGGTCAGCCGGCCACCAGAGGTCAGCCGGCCACCAGAGGTCAGCCGGCCACCTTCCAAGGTCAATCCGAGGTCGCCTTGTGACTGACCAGGGGCAGCTGCTCAGGGAGTCGTGACGCCACCTTGGTCCTGCTGAGGAGAACATGGAGTCCTGAGAGGAGAAACAACCAGGTGAGGATCAGGTGAGGATCAGGTGAGGATCAGGTGAGGATCGGCGATGTAGACACCATGATGCTCCTCTGGTCGCCCCCCCTCACCTGCTAACAGCCTGCACACGGGCAGGTGGATGGACACCTTCTCCTGGGACACCTGGTACCTGAACGTGTCCACGGTGTGACCCGCCAGGCTCAAGCTGATTGGCTGCTCGCTGTCCGGCAGGCCACCCTGGCACTGACTGAGCGCGCTCAGACACTTCTTATACGCCTCGATCAGAACGTGCTCCTGAGGGTGCAGACGGTGACATGATCAACACCTGAGTAACACAAGCCCCGCCCCAGAGTAACAAGGTAATGTTGGCCAAAACCTCCCACTGCAGGATTGGAAGATGACGTCAGAGCTGCACCATGCTACATGGTACGACTACATGGTACGGCTACATGCTACGGCTACATGCTACATGCTGCGGCTCACGTCAGTGCTGCACCACTCCTGCATCATGGTGATGATGTGCGTCAGCTTCATCTGCAGGGTGAAGGCCGCCTCCCACTCCGGCTCCATCTCGATGTGTTGGCCCACCTGTCTCACCACTGGGTCCATGCCCTGCAGGGGCACGCAGGTGCAGTGAGGGGCGGGCCCCAGTTGAAGCTCCTCTTCCAGTCCACAGCTTACCTGCATGCACCTGAGCAGGTCCAGAAAGGCTTCGAAACCGTCCAGGAACTTGGTTCTGAGCTGCTGGCTCCACTGCGGCGGCGGGGAGATCAGGACGTACCTGCAGACACAGCGGACCCAGTGAAAGGCCTGGGGGGCAAATGCCAGGTACCAGGCAGGACCGGGCCTTACTTCAGGTCTCCGATGAGGCTCTGGACCCGGCCGAACTTGAAGGCCTGCTGGGCGGTGTAGTGGTCAAACTGGAAGCGGCCTTGAGCGTCGCGGTGGCGAAGCTGATCCACAAAGGTTCTGATAATGGTCATCATCAGGTTCTCCTCCACCATCAGCATCCGGGCCTGCAGGTACACACAGCCGGTCCTGAACCGGCCCACTTCCTTATGCCAGCAGTGGCTGCAGGTGAAAACTGGTGAGCATAGGCTCCGCCTCCTTCGTCTGGGACTAAGCCGGCTCTCTGGAGCTAATGGAACAGCTTCCTGGAACAGGAACTTCCTGTTTCCTTAACGCTAACAGCAGCTAAGCTAACTGTGGCTAAAGGCGTTCACAGACCTCTGGAGCCTTCGTGCTTTACAGGATTTATTTTGACCAAATCGATAATCAATTATCCTCAAAATCTATTGATTTCTCATTCAGTCCAAACTTATAAACACTGTTTACTCAAAGTCAAATTCTGTTGCTTGCATAGTGAACTTATTTAATAAGTTTAATCTGATTTGGAGTTAATTTTACGCACAGTAGATCCGTCTGAAACGTGGCCGCTAGAGGGCGCCATTGAGCCGGTTCAGACTGTGAACTGGTTCCACTCCAGCCTGCATTCCTCCAGTCTTCCACTCAGTTTCTAGATGAACAGTTAACCTCTGACCCCACCCTCCTGGTGGTGTTGGACCAGAACTCACCTGAGCTCAGCAGAACTGGGTCAGTACCGTCGGGGAACCGGGAACTCACCAGCGAGGGAACAGTGAAGATCTGCACCGACAGGTCGGTGACGGAGAACTGCCTGTCGTGGTCGTCTCTGATGAAGTCGCTCTGCAAGCGCTCATAGTTCTAGGGTTCGGGGTCAGGGGTCGGGGCAGGAGGGGACAGAGAGAGAGCGGCGTTGGGGCAGCAGAAGAAGAAGAGCTACTCACCACGGTCGGCACGGTGAACAGCTGCACCGACAGCGCCGTCACCGACACCAAGCGGTCGTGGTCGTCCTCCATGAAATCTGTCTGCAGCCGTCTGTAGTTCTACAGGGGCACAGGTCACCTCAGGGTCAGAGGTCAGCCCCCAACACATAGCAGGGAACGAATCAAGAATCTGGCTGCCATCGGTTGGTCCTGCTGACCTCTGACCTGCAGCACGACATGGGTCACCCAGAACCGGTTCTACTGGTTCAGTTTAGTGGTGATCAGAACCAGAACCAGAGGTCACACTGACCTACGAAACCACTCTGGTTCTGGACCCGGTTCTCAACTCAGAACCTTGGCACAGTTTTGGACCTATAACAACCTCCTGGTTCCGCATGCGGTCTGGTCCAGGTTGGGTCAGGTCAGGTGGGTTCTGTGTGTGGTCAAGTGTGTCCGGTCCGGTCCGGTCCATCGGGTCTGGTTACCTTGGCGAACCGGATGGCGAACAGCTTCTTGAACTTGCGGTCCATCAGCAGACTGTTCATGAACAGCTGGTGGTAAACGTTCCGGGCTCCTGCACAGTCAGAACCATCAGAACCTGCCAGGCCCGGCGCCCACCCCTGCCTGTGAACTCTGACCTTTCCACATCTTGGAGTCGTTGAGCATCAGGCGGTCCACCAGTGAGGAGTTCTCGCCCTCCGGACCGGGTCGTAGCCCCACCTGGCACAAGATCCGCCTCAGGCCATCTGAAAGACTCACAGTGAGGGAAGCCGCACCCCAAAGCATCGTGGGTAACGCTGCCTGCCCCAAAGCATCGTGGGTAATGCTGCCGAGACGTACCAGAGTACTGGATGATCTGGCCCAGCCAGCTGAGCGCCTTCAGAGCGAAGCACTGATGAGCCACCAGCGCCGAGTGCATCACCTGGACCCGCAGGGGCTTCGACTGCCGGCTGGTGCTTCTCTGAGGGGCAGAGGTCAGGGGTCAGAGGTAAGGGACAAACTCTGGCTCCGCCCACACGACTGTCTGCAGCTCACCACAATGACGGCCTTCGCCTGTTCACAGAACTGATGGTCTCCGAACCGGACCGACTTCCTGCCCTGCAGAGACGGAGAGGGTCACAACCACAGGTCACGGCAAACTACGAGAGCGGTCTGGATCTAAACCTGGACCCGGTTCTGGACCCGGACCGGGTGCTGTACTGACGTCTCTGTCCACGGTGGTGGCGAAGCTGACGGCGTCCTTCTGGCTGCAGTTGACGGCTTTCTGCAACGTGTAGATGACCTGCTCATAGGTGTGGATTTCATCATTGAACAGCATGCAGTAGTAGCTGTCGCTCCGCTGCCTGCAGGGGAAACAGAGACTCACTCAGAACAGCAACACGGCACTCTGCTGCTGCAACAGCTAACCTGCACAGTCCACTGCTGTCACAAATGACATTGAAACAAAAATCCAGTCCATCATTTGATTCCTCTGGATCCTTTTGGAGCAAAAATATCTAACTATCTAAAGTTCAGATCTGCCATGGCTGACACCTGCTGCCTCAGGTTTGTAACCAGTTTCTGACTGAGAAACCAGTAACCTGCTCCCAGCGTCAAAACTCACTGAGGAAGAAACTGCATCACTTTGTATTTCTGCTGTACCTGACGGATATTTGCATTTAAAATAAGTTTCATTAACCATTTTTCTATCTTCATGTATGAGGTAGATCTCAGCCGGGCCGGTGAGAGGAAATGTAAATGTTGGTTTCAAAACGTTTGGGCAGCCCTGGTTTGAGGCTAGCTGTTAGCCAAGCAGCTAATAGTTCCCCCACAGGGCTAGCTAGCTGAACCTTGGTGCTCAGTTAGCAGTTGTATGAGTTAGTAGCTTAGCATGAACCTCTTAGCATTAAAACTGGTCCAGGTTGATCCATCCTGGGAGCAGCAGCAGCTCAGGTTCGGCCAGTCTGGACCACTTAGGTCCAGTTCAGTCCAGTTTCGGACCACCGTGACCCGTTTGACCTGGTCGGGACCTACGGCGGCCTAGGCCTGCAGGCAGCTGGTCCTGCTCCCAGGTCAGCAGGTCGACGGCGTACTGCAGGATGATGGAGAAGATGCTGTAGCTCCTTTCCTCCACGGCAGGGGGCAGCAGAGAGACCGGGTCCTGGAACACAGGCAGCAGAAACATGCTGTGAGTCTGGGCCCGGGCAGGTCGGAACCGGCTGCTGGTTAGAACCGGGCCGACAGCGGTCTCACCTCCTCGGTCTCCCGGTTCTGGTCGGTAGGCGTGTGGTTCTGGCAGGACGGACCGGTCTTCCAGGCCTCAGTGTCTCCACAATCGCAGAAGCCTCCGCCTCCTGACGTGGTCATCTGGGGGACAGAGAGGTCCGGTCAGCCGGGTTCTAGTGGTTCTGGTTCTGGTTGGACTCACCCGGTAGCGATGGTGGCGGTGGGCGCTGGCCAGGAAGCACTGCATGCACAGAACACAGGTCGGGTCGGCCGCACACTCCCTGAGAACACACCGGGTCAGAATGGGTCAGAACCTCGGCCCGGTTCTGATCCCTGAACACTGGCTTTGCTGATATCCTGTTCCAAAACCAGTCTGAAGAACCGGTTCACAGCTGGCAAACCAGAACTTCTGAGAACAGAACCCCAACCCGACCTCCAGGGAAACACAGAACCAGGTCCGAAAGACTCCGATTGGTCCCAACATGGCAAATAATGTGGACCATCCCGGTCCTGCAGATCCTTACCGGTCCCTACCGGACCCTAACAGATCCTCATCGTTGTTCTCGTTCCCAGTTATCTTATGGTGTTTTAATGGTTTTAATGGTTCCAGGTTGGTGACAGTTTCTCTCTCAATGCTACGGTGGCCCACAGGTTCAAACACAAAGCTAACGGTGAAACTAGCTGCTGGCACATGAACTATGCTAACTCCACAGGAAACAGAAGCTTAAGGGAAAACTAAACAACCACCTGAAATCTGCAATTTGTAACTTTTAGAAAGGATCTGTCTTTTTACATATTTATTACAACCATGTCGTTAGTTTGAAAAGATCGATCTCCTCCACCTTCAATCTGAGCTACTGTGGCCTTTGAAGAAATGCACCGAAAACAACCAATCAGAGTCAGGAGGCGGGCCTTAGTGCAGTCAATCAACTCATGTATGCTCACTTATATGTGATAATAGCAGAGAAACAACTGTTTATCTGCTGTGGCTATGCTAACGAGCCTAGCATTTATGAGAGGTGCTGCTGTCATCAAAGGGGAGATAAGCAGCGCACACACACACGCACACACACACACACACACACACACACACACACACAGACACACACACACACGCACACAGACACACACACACACACACACACACACACACACAGACACACACACACACAGACACACACACACACAGACACACACACACAGACACACACACACACACACAGACACACACACACAGACACACACACACACACACACACACACACACACAGACACACAGACACACACACGCACACAGACACACACACACGCACACACACACTGACACACACACACACACACACACCAGACACACACACACAGACACACACACACACACACACACACAGACACACACACACACAGACACACACACACGCACACACAGACACACACACACAGACACACGCACACAGACACACACACGCACACACAGACACACACACACAGACACACACACACAGACACACGCACACAGACACACACACACGCACACACAGACACACACACACAGACACACACACACACAGACACACACACAGACACACACACACACAGACACACACACACAGACACACACACACAGACACACACACACACACGCACACAGACACACACACACGCACACAGACACACACACACAGACACACACACACACACACAGACACACACACACACAGACACACACACACACAGACACACACACACACACACACACACACACAGACACACACACACACACACAGACACACACACACACACACACACACAGACACACACACACACACAGACACACACACGCACACACACACTGACACACACACACACACACACACACAGACACACACACACAGACACACACACACACACACACACACACACACACACACACACACACACACACACACACACACACACACACACACACACACACACACACACACACACACACACACCACAGACACAAGACTGACAGCAACTAACCCGCCTCCTGGCTCTCACAGATTAGTTGTCTCATGCCATACTATCAAAACATGGTGACAGATTCAACAAAGATGTTGTAGTGGAAGATCTTAAGGTTACTGTGGTTATTATCTGAATCAACACACACTGAATCATGTGAAGCACGAGATCATGAAAAACGATTCTGAAGCAGGTTAGTTTCTCTGGCCTTGGCGCTACAATGAATTGTTTCTACATCTCTCATGACTCCTGGTGAAGAAGATTTGTGCGTCTGCCCTCAGTTCTGTAAACAAGTAGATAATCAAACTCTGTGAACGGATGAAACTCTCCCTATAAACCAGGGGTCCCCAAAGTGGGTCCCTGAGGGCTGCATCCTGCATGTTTTAGTCTCTCCCTGGTTTAACTGGATCAACTGAGGCTCGTTAGAGACAGAAGGAAAACATTGAGCTGCTGAAAAGGTTGTCACTACCACCAAGGAGAGAACTAAAGCATGCAGGATGCAACCGGCCCTCCAGGACCCACTTTGGGCCCCTGCTCTAAGCTGTAACTGACTTTGGCTCCAGGCTCTTTCTCTTGACTGATCAGTGAGCAGAGACTTTGAATAAATACTCATTAGAAGATATAGTCTCTCTGGTTCGTTGGGTTTGAAACAGTTTTCCTTCAATATTGTTAAAGAAAAATGTTCACAACAATGTAAAAATGTCTTTTTAATAAAAGCTGCAGTAAAGGAATCCTCCAGGCCACTAGAGGGAGTCGACCAGCAGACAGGATGTGCAGAAGGCAGAAACGGCTCTATTCTTCACAACATTACAGTACAGCAGCATATTTACGTGGGTGATCTTGGTGACTCCAGACTCCCCCTAGTGGACTGGAGGACTTCAGCCTGTGGAGCCAGGTAGCAGTTTTATACTCGCTGTTTTTGATTCTGTATGTTCTGTTTCCTGTTTGCAGTGTTTCCCTGTTTGTGTGTTAAGTTAGCATCGTTAGCAACATTAGCAGTAGTTTCACCGTGTAACGACCTTGTCTTCCTGTTCCTACATCACAGAAATAAAGGAATGTATAATCAAAGAAGGCCAGATTTTGTTGAACAGTCAATTGTTCCTGAACTTATTGTAATAATAAACTTCTTAATAGTGATAAACAATAATACTGCTGTTTTGACTTTAATGGTAATAGCATAGTAATGCAGGAACACATTCTCAAATTTACAATTTGATGAACATTTAACGCTGAACTAGAAGACATTTTAAATATCCAAAATAAACTGAGTGATGAAAAGACATTTATTATCCATGGTAGAAAGAGAGAACTGATCAATTATGTCAATGGAAATTATTGATATTGTTTCACCATGAATAGGTCAGGTGACTTACCTGCAGGAGTAGGTGGGCTCCCCCACCTTGAAGACGTGTCCACAGAGCGCCGCCGCCCCCCCGCCCTGCTGCAGCAGCGCCAGGCCGGCCGCCGGCTCCTCCCCCAGCAGGAGCCACTCCAGGGGGGCGAGGATCAGCAGCTGGAGAGCCAGCTCCTCCCGCTGCTCCTCCCGCTGCTCCTCCCGCTGCTCCGCCACGCCGCCCCCCTGGCACAGGATGCGGGGCACATACTCAGCCAGGTGGCGGTACACCTCCTGCTGCAGGTCGGAACACGCCAGCCAGCGCTGAGGAGGACGAAGGTCAGAGGTCAGCAGGGGTAACCAATCAGGTTACTGCTAGAAAGAACCGAATAAAACCTGCAGCTGACCCAGAACAGAAACGCTTCTGATGGAAAACACATCCAGATTCCCTTCATCAGCTCCCTGTTAATCCAGTCTGTAATCAATAATCAAACAGTAACTGGTTCTGTTGGGTCCAGCAGTAGGATGGGAGGCGGGTCATTCAGTCCCAGTTCACCGTGAATATTTGTGGTATTAAAACAAAAGTTACGTATGTAACTACGGTTCTATGAATCCCGGATGACCGCCAGAGCTTCTCTGTCACTCAGAATCCTTGCATTTCGCGAGAAGATTCTGTAGGAACAGAGCGTCGGATGACGTCATGCTATATAGCCTCTGATTGATCATCCGATATGTCACAGGTGTGACTCTTTTGGTATTATTACCCTACTGACCGCCCTCTGGCGGTCCGTAGGGATGAAATAGAACCTTCCTGACCTGCTGGCCGGGGTCATCCTGAGCTCCTCCTGTAGTCATGATGCTACCGGCTGCTGCAGGACGACCTGGCCTCTCCCCTCTCCTTCTTCTTCTACTACTCTCCAGTTTGCACCGTTTGCTGTCATTGTAACTTTTTATTTCCTGTTATTTCTGTCCATGGCAGCTCTGGGTTCTGATTGGCTGATTCCTTCCTGGAGGCGGCTGACATGATGCTGATCGCTCTCCCTCTCCTGGTATTGACCTATTTTTCTTCTGTCCAGGTCTTCCAGAACTTTCTTGTCTGGGTCCGAATCTGGATGCGGTTCTGTGATCCAGCAGTAATCTGATTACACAACGCTGACCCGGATCCCGCCGCCACTCTCAGGTCATTACTGGGTGGCTTCAAACCTGCAACCTCAATCTGAGACCCCAGGGTGGCCGCCAGGATAAGGGGTCTGACCTGACCTTTGACCCAGGTCCACCTCAAAGACTCCTCTACACGCAGAGTCTCAGCCTGGGAATCGAACCAGCGACCCCCGGCACCCTGCGGGGTGCCTACTGGAAGGCGTCCACAGCCACGCAGCTCGCCGTCAATATCAGCTATTTCCATGGCAACTGTCATCTGGTCCACAGGTGAAATGAGGCACACCTGATCATGTTTGTAAACCTGTGCGTGACGTCACCAGCTGTCCAACTATCCACAGCCCGCGGGAACCGACCCAGTACTCCCCAGAACCCTGAATGAGAGTGAGAAGCCCCGCCGCCGCTACCGAGAGGAACACCGGGAGCTGACGGCCGCCGGTGTGGCTCCAGGTGTTCCTCCAGGACCAGCGGCGCTAGCGCCGTTAGCTCCGAGGACGTTAACCCGAAACAGAAGCCTCAGAAGCGGCCTGGGTCCGGCGGGCTGCGTCGGCCGGACCCGCAGCCTCCGGAGCCACTCACCGAGGCGGCGTCTCTGGGGGAGAAGCTCATGAAGTCCGCGCTCAGAGCGGGCGGAGGATCTCTGGAAGGCTCCGCCATCTTGGCTCCTTCTCTGGTCGAAAACATCCGGAAGCGGAAACTGTTACGGAGGGGGCGGGACTTCGGCTCAATTTGGCCATATTAAGGCGGGGCTTATGTCAAATGGGGCGTGGCTCATTTGTTTTATTCATTGATTGATTTCATAATAAATAAAAAACTGAGAAAATGTTTATGGCGATTTTATGCTTTTATGACATAAATTAAGGCACTTATTGATGAAATGGTCCAAAAATAAATCATCAGAACACTAGAACCACTGGAAACGGACCAGAACCAGAGCCTTTGAGGAGAAACATCAGAGCCAGCTCAAGGCGGTTGCCATGTTGCCATGTTACAACATGGCAACATGGTGGCTGTTGTGGTCAGGCGTGGCTCTCACTGTGGAGGTGGTACTGATTGTAGATCACCTGTTACTCACCTGGTGACTTTAGAGAGAGGCTGATGGGGAGGTCGATTTTTGGACATTTTTGCCGACCTGTTTGGACACAAATGTCTGTTATCCACCGACGTTCTTCTTTGGGTTTTTGATGATATAACGTCTTAACTGCAGCTTGCATTTAAGTTTTGGTCAGGTGGGTATCAACAAATGATTCCCCTATTCAGCTGCTCAGTGGCTTTGTTTGACAGTCGCTAATAGTGGGCGTGCCTGAACTTCAAAACATGCTTCATAATTTGGTATTTTCTTCATTCTGTCTTTACTGGCCATTTGAAATCAAGAACATTTAAGTCAGTAAGTCTGGATGAACGTTTGTGGTCCATCAGGAAGTCCAGAAAAAGGTTCAAGCTGGTCTCAAATGATCTTAATGTCTTCAAACAAAGTCATGCCCGTTCTGGACCAGCTGCTGGACCAGAGATCGAAGCTCCTTCAGCTCTGTCTCAACGGCCTCCTGTTCCTGTTGCAGGTTCTTGGGATCTTGGACCTGCTGGTTCTGTCTCTCTCGGTTTCTGCTTCTGTTTCTGAGGCGTCTCTTTGATGGGGAGGTCCTGAAGCTCAAGGTTCTCCTGGACCTGAAGTTGTTGATTCTGCTGGTGTTGTTCTGTAGGGAATCTGCCAGAGAGACTGGAGGTCAGACTTGCTGCCTAGTTGAGCACTGATCTGTTCTGTGTGTCCTGGTGTTCTCACCTTGGCTGCCTCCATGTCCCTCTGAAGGACCAGGAACTGGTCCAGAGTCTCCTGCAGGACAAGCCATCCCATCGTGCCCCAGGAAGATGATGTAGGAAATGTATGGATACCCATCCTAACCCGTCCTGTGACGTGTCCAAACTCATGGCTGAGACGCCATCGCAGGCTTCGCCCAGTGGAGAGCAGTGCTTGGAGATGTACTGCTTGCCATAGAAACGATGGATGGAGTCCTCCACCTGCAGGATGACAGCGGCCTGCAGCATAACCACGTTAGCCTGGGAGTTATCATGCACCTGAAACCACCAATCAACCAACGAATCATTCAACTTAGACTTAGACTTCCTTTATTGTCATTGTACAAAAAAACACAAGGTGAATCTTGACAATGAAATGTGTTACTTGGCTGCCAGTGTAGCAGAGCTAAAACCTTATATTAAATACATAATAGCTAAATAAATATATAAGAGCTAAGAATAAAGTGCCATGGAATCCACAGGTTCAGTGTTGTAAAAAAACTAAACTAAAGTGCGTGTGTTGACCATGTCCATGGGCGGGGGTTTGGTTTGGTTGTTAATAGTAACTCAGTCATTTATTAATAGTAAGTCAGTCAATAGCTTTTAAGGTGTTGGTTTAAATGTCTTTTCAGGTCATTTAGGTTACAGTCCATAGGTTGAGACCAGTCCAGGCGTGACCTCTGACCTCTGGAAGGTCTCAGTTACTAGTGTAATCAGGAGGTTGATACACAAGATGGAGGATGTGGCCAGAAATGTTCCACACAGTAGAGAAGCCATGATGTTGTCCACAGTTACCATGGCAGCGTACTCGTACTCATCCACCAGAGCGATCCGGTAAAGGCTGTAGAGTAGACCTGAGACAGAGTGCATGCTGGGAACAGAGGGCGTTCCTGAGAACACAACACAGTTTCTGTCAGAGCAGAGCTGAACTCAGAACCTTCACAAAGACAGACCCGCTGATCTTCTGACCTCCAACATGGTCCAGAAGCTGGAGGCATAGGGGATGAAGATCTCAGCATACAGGAACAGGAAGTGCATCACATCCTTAACGATGTTCCCCAGCTTGATGATGAAGGGCCCCATTAACCTGCAGAGCATCACCTGTGCTACACATTAAACATGCTTCATCTGACGGTCTGGTTCAATAACGCCTGCTCTAAAACCAGAACCATCCAGAACCACTTCTGGATGGCTTCCTTTGAGAAACCCTGATACCCCCCTGCCTAGTGGCCTTCTCCGGATCCTTGTGAATGTCCTATACCTGTGCAGCACCTTATCAAGTCCAGAAGACTCCAAAGCTTCACTGTACATCCAATCATTCAGCCTCTGATGGCGCTGAGCTACTGGATAGTAGCCACAGCTGTCCTGAGCCAGTCTGACAGATGCCAGGCTGCCATGCTCCCTGCTGAGCGCTCTACCGCCACCAGCTGGCAAGGAGGGTGAAGTGCCTTGCCTAGGAACACAACAAGAAAGGCGGACAAAGAGGAAATCGAACTCCTACCAAATGTATTATCTCAGAGTCCAGTCTACTTACTGGGGTGGTTGGTTCCTGCAACACAGACAGTCCCACCTGACGGAGGGGGGCTCTGCTACCTGATGGGGCCCCAGGTGTAGCAGCCTCTGGTTCCAGCAGGTTCAGGTAGAAGTACTCCTGATGGAGGGCCTCGTGACCCTGAACGTGACACAGGTTACCTCAGCAACCACAGACACAGAGCTCTGTGTCAGGGGGCGGGGCTAAGTTACCACATGACTCATCCAACCAATCAGAGCAGAGATGCACAGCTGTCCATCAGAGTCCTGGAGGGCCTGAGCTGCTTCAATGCGCTCTGGTGGTTGAGGAACGAGTGACATCACTCATGATGTCATGAGCTATCTATGATGTCATGCTGTGATGTAATGGTCACCCATGTTGGCTGTGAGCTGCAGCGGCGTCCGCTGCTTGTTGTCGGTGGAGCCGATGGCGGCACGCAGCAGCTGGATGGATCGGACTGCTAGTGAAGAGGAGTCTGCTGGTCCAGAAGGGTCCGATGCTCGGGTCACATAGAGCTGGTACCGGACCTTCAGCACCAGAACCCGCCTCTACCTGGACCCACCGACCTTCCCTGTCCAGCAGGAACTAGACCATGTCCTTATAGTCCAGGGCCGGGGCCACATGTAACTCCGTGACGCCAAACCGATCCGAGCCCAGCGAGTCCGATCCGCGGTCCAAAAAGAACCGCATCACATCTTCGCTCCTGAGGACACACACCTGAGTTCAGCTGCACAGCTCAGTCTCGCAGACAGGTAACCAATCCACCAGGTGTGACCTCATGAAGGACAGTCTGTCTCCATCTGTCTGAGCAGTTTGTCAGTCTCACCTGGTCGAGATACAGTTGGTTATTTAGTTTTTATAAAGTGAATCAAATCTTGTCACCATGTTTTTCACACTGCATTGCATTCTGGGTAAATGAAGTGTAAAGGTCCAACTGCCTGGCAAAAACAGTGATGAGTAACTTTATTAAGACTTTTTTATGGAATTACATTTGCTTCACAATTATTCAAACAACAAACATAGAATTGTAATCAAAACTTTTTGATTTGAAAATAGAAAATTTTCAACAAAAAAAACTTTTCTCAATCAAAAAATTAAATTGGTCAAAAACTTTTTGAATTGTATAAATTCTTTAAAACAAACAAGCAAAAATTGTTTTTTAGATGAAAATCACTCATTTTGGTGAAAAAGTTATGAACAGAACATAAACCTTTATTTTGCACGTCAGAAATGTCTTCCGATCGGAAGGTTGTAGGTTTGATTCCAGCTTCCTCCATCCAAAAACATGACTGTTGGTCTTTAAATTCTCCCTAGGCGTGTGTGTGTGTGTCCCGTCTGTCTCTGTGATGACAGACTGGCCACCTGTCCAGGTGACCCTGCCTCTCGCCCAGAACATCTCCTGACCCCATTAGGGAGCAGAAAATGGACGGATGTTCAACTGGATTCCTTTCATGGAAGATTAAACCAGTTATTTGATGTAAATAATATTCCAACTAAAGGACAAATGACTTTCTGCATTGTTTTCTGTCTCTGCTAAATCAACCCTGACCCTCCCTGAGTTTTAACTTTAGGTTTCCTGATTAACAGCTTGTTATTTCAAATATTGATCGCCGCATTTTAACACGAGTTTATAAATGCTGCAGATTGATAAGTAAATGTGATTATATATGTCAACTAACACTAAGATAAATATGAATGAATATTCATTTCCCTTACAAAAAAGCCTATAATTCACAGGATGTTCCCATTTTCCACATGTGATAAAGTATTTTGTTCATGTGATCACATTTTTTTTGATGTAAAGAAAAATAACCCCGCGATCTGAGAGGAACGCTGTTGGACGTCCACCTGGGGACACCGGCCCCGTCTCAGACACAGGGACAGACACAGTGGGAGTCTCATGTTTTATTCTGTTATTTACACTCAAAGAGAAATCCACAGTCTGAACCGACGACAGACAGAGCCACGCCCCCCGGCGGTGGGCGGAGCCTGGCCGTAGCATCTATCCGAACCAGTGGTTCCCCATGCACTCCCTGTTCCAGGGGGCGCCGCAGAGCCAGCACCACTCTGCTCGGCATTGGGTGCACTGCATGTGCATGCAGCCGCCTGCAGGGGGAGACACGGGCAGGCGTCAGTGCTCACCTGGTGGACAAATGGGACGGTTGTGGGGCGGAGCTTACCGTTCCTCTCCACAGGTACCAGGCAGCGCGGGCAGCGCCGGGTCGACTCCTGGATGAGCTGCAGAGACGCCTGTTCCCACCTGCCTCTCTGAGACGCCTCGTGTTCCACCACGAAGCCCTAAGGAGAGGGACCGCCTCAGCACCTTCATCACCTCCATCATCATCATCATC